CCCCCGCTTCCCACGGGCCGGGCCAGCCATGCCCACCCCCACCCCCACCCCCGAGGAGGGTGTGTTTGTTTGGGCTGCCCTGGAACCAGTGGGAGGAGACGGATCTCGCCCCCTCCCTCTGTCCCTGCGCCCAGGAGCCTTCGGCTCGGATGCAGGAGGCTGGTGCCGGGGAGGTTTTTTTTTGAGTCGGATTCTTGCTTCAGGTTGCCCCTGTTTCTGGTCCCAAAGTCTCCCACCTCAGGAGAGGATCAGCCGCCTGGAGAGTTGTACAGACCGTAGCTAAAGGGCCTGTCCCGTGAAGGAGTTAAATCATAAGCAAAGAGGGGAGGGGGCATGAAGCAGCCCAGGGAAGAGAGGACAGAGAAGCATCCTGCTAACCTGCCCTGTGGTGGAGAGAGATCAGAAGGCTTCTCTGGACCTTAAGAATGGCCGAGGAAAAGGCTCACTGGCCCACAGGAGCCGGATTTTGAAGAGAGAAGAGGCAAGTACTAGGTATGGGGCGAGGGAAGAGGTTCAGTCACCTGGGTTAGTTTATAGCAGTTTCTAAAAAGTAAAACTTGGGGGGAAACCTCCTTCACCTGCGTCAAATGGAAGTTAGGTATGTTGAGGAGCCTCTGCTCTGCCTGCCTGCAGGAAGAGGGGATGGGAAGGGAGCATGGGAAACTGAGCATCCCGCTGTTCATTCCTCTAGTGAGCAGGGAGTGGTGACTCTGAGCCATTCCTCCTTTCGCAGGAGGCGTGGGTGGGGAAGGCATGGGGGATAAATAGACTCTAAGCGAGGACAGGTGAGAGAGAGAAAACGCAGAGAAGGTAGGAAGAGACCACATGGTGGTCTGGGAGTGGAAATAGGAGGATGGAGGGGGAGAGAGATGAAGTTAATTACAGACACTGAAAGCCAAGAAATAGATGCAATCTGATCAATGAAAGGAAAGAAAAGAGAGAGAGTAACATGCAGTTAGGAAGGGAAAGAAGGTCTAATAAAGTCAGACATGAAGTAAGTTACTCAGTTAAGTAGACTTGATTGACAAGTGAGAAGTATTTGATTATCACATTAAGCGAGCAAAACTTTATACTCCATTGCTTTTGGGTGAGGTGGTGTGGTGGCACTGGGCTATTTCACTCTGGCTAGTAGTTCTAGCCTTTCAGCTTGTAAATGCTAGATTAGTGATTTTCAACAGGTGGTCTATGGACCACTGGGGGTCCACAAACTATGATTTCCAAAAGGGTCTGCACCTCCATTTGAAAATTTTTAGGGGTCTCCAAATGAAAAAAGGTTGAAAACCACTGGGTTAGAGAAACTGTTTCAAGCTCTGCAGAAGAGGAGGAGGGTGGCTTCTGGAAGGAATGGGGAGGCAGAGAAGCTGTTTGAAGACTGTGGCCAGGTCTGCACTACAGACCTATCGTGGTATAACTACATCACCAGGGGTGTGAAAAATCCACACCCCCTGACCGATGTAGTTATACAGACCTAACCCCCTGTGTGGACAGTGCTGTGTCAGCGTACCCACAGCCTCTTGGGGAGGTGGATTAACTATGCCAATGGGAGAAGCTCTCCTGTCATAGTAGTGTCTTCACTGAAGTGACACAGCTGCAGCGCAGCATGTGGAAAAAAAGCCCTGAGGTGATGTGGTTGTGTGTGTCTGTGCATAGTGAGTAGAAATAGTTGGGCCTTTACTGGGAGTTGAACTTTGGGAGGAGAAGCTGCACCACTTGATGCCTTTTCCCAAAATCTCTGGATGCAACTTCCATTTATTTCTAGAAGGTTTTAAAATGCAGAGGAGCTTCCTCTTTGCACTTATCTTGCCTCTTTATTATAAGTCCTTTTGAGAAGCCAATGACTTCCATAGCAACACACGAATACAATTAGATTAGGGTTACTATTGTGTGATGTAGCAGGTGGGTCAGTTGGTGTATTCTTTTAAAAAGGGAACATCTGTTAGGGTTTATTTGTCTTGTTAGATCTAAACCATGCTGAAAGTCCCGTTCTGTTAGTCTCTGACTCCCTTCACAAGAATATTTAGCTTTCAGTGGTTAATTGGAATGGCTGAGATTAACTCGGCTCCATATCTTGAACTACAACATTTCAGTCTAGCAGGATGCTTATTTTTTACCTTTCCAAATATGTGGCTTCAATAATCTAATGCACTAAAATTATAGAAGGGCAAAATACAATCAGGTTGGCTTTAGAAACGTGAAAGTGTGTCCTGATATTCATAGTCAATGCATCTGGTCAACTTAAATCTTTACTGTAAACAATTATTGGAATAATTTTTGAATGTTCCTTTTGTTGAACTGGACATGCCCAGTGTCAAACTTTTCATGAAACTGCAGAGAAAAATAAATGACTTGATCAAAAGGCTAGAGAAGAGTGACAGTCTTTGTTATGACCTAAAGATGTATAGCTTGTTTAAGGGGTGGGGTACACTGAAAACTATTGGCATAGGTATGTCTCAGAGTGGGAAAAATCCACACTCCTGAGAGAGATGGCTATGCCGACCTGACGCTCAGTGTTGACAATGCTAGGTCAACGGAAGAATTCTGTCGAGCCAGCTACTGCCTGTCAGGGAGATGGATTGGCTACAGTGACAAGAGAACCCCTCTTGAATTGTGGACACCGGAACTGGACTCAGTACTCCTGCAGCGGTGGCACCAGCGCCAAATACAGAGGTAAAATAAGCTCTCTGCTCCTACGCTGCTCCCCGTTTAAGCATCCCAGGATTGCATGAATTCTTTTGGCATCAGCGTCCTGTTAGGAGCTCATGTTCAGCTGATTATCCACCACGACCCCCAAATCTTTTTCCAGAGTCACTGCTTTGCAGGATAGTGTCCTCCATCCTGTAAGGATGGCTGGCATTCTTTGTTTGTAGATATACACCAGGGGTAGGCAACCTATGGCATGCGTGCCGAAGGTGGCACGCAAGCTGATTTTCAGTGGCGCTCACGCTGCCCGGGTCCTGGACACTGGTCCGGGGGGCTCTGCATTTTAATTTAATTTTAATGAAGCTTCTTAAACATTTTAAAAACCGTATTTATTTTACATACAACAACAGTTTAGTTATATATTATAGACTTATAGAAAGAGACCTTCTAAAAACAGTAACATGTATTACTGGCATGTGAAACCTTAAATTCGAGTGATTAAATGAAGACTCGGCACACCACTTCTGAAAAGTTGCCGACCCTTGATATACACATTTACATTTAGCCATATTAAAAACATGTATTGGTTGCTTACACCCAGTTTATCAAGTGATCCAGATCACTCTGAACCAGTGACCTGTCCTCTTCATTAAGTACCACTCCCCCAATTTTTGTGTTATTTGCAAATGTTATCAGTGATGACTTTGTCTGCTTCAGGTCATTGATAAAAACAGTAAATGGCACAGCGCCAACAGCTGATCCTTGTGGGACCCCACTGGAAAACACATCCGCTCAGTGATGATTCCCCATTTACAATTGCATGTTGAGATCTATCAGTTAGCCAGTTTTTAATCTATTTAGTGTGTTGCATTAAATGTCTGCATATTATAGACATGCAGATTAATTACAGCATAAGGGGATGCAGCTCAAAGAAATTGTGAATAGGGTGACCAAAGGAAAACTTAGGTTGAATATTCAGAAACCTTTTTACAGTGAAATCTCTGGCCTTCCTGCCTTTTCACTCTTCTGTCCTGACCAACACATGGCTGTGAAAATCCTATTCCTTGCCTGCTGCTTTCACTGTGTCCAACCCCTTTCCAAATGCCATCACTGTCTTCCTCCCACCTGTCTCACATTCAAGCTCCTTCTTTGTCTTTAAACCACTACCTACCCAACTTGTCTTCCATCTGCCACCTTGCTCTCTTCTCATTCCACCCTTTCATCTCCTCATTGAAAGCAAAGAAAATAAGTTGTTAGATCTGGTGCAGGGTCTCTGAGGGGGCAGCTGTGGGGGATTCTTCAGTAATGCAGCTCTGTGGCTTATGAGCCGTAGAAGCCCCTCTAGCTCAGAATCTGCAATGATTCTTGCTCATCTGAAGAGTCCAAATCAAAGAAGAAAAAGCAACAGAGTGGGACTGTGTACTGTGTTGAGTGTTCAGTGATTCTTTGATGCCAGCCCTGAAGTTGGGGCAACTGCTCCCTTTTACATAACTCTTGCCAGTGTTCGTCTTGCATAATCAGTGTCTCTTGACAAGGAGCAACAAGAGTTCTGCTTCTGGGACCGTGGGCTTCATTGTGAGGGAGTAGGCAGCCTCTGGGTGTGGGAAGGGGAGAGGAGTTGCATTTCTTCTTTGGCAGTGGTTAAATTAATCTTGCATGGACCATTGTGACAAAGATGCCTGGGGAATAATCGGTGTCTTGTTCTCAACAGCAACAGTCTCAAAGTCAGACTAGTTATGTAACAAAGTTGCTTTAGGAGGTGTTTCACCAGTGGATGGAGAGACTTGAGTAGTGGCTTGCTGCTCTCAAAAATCAAATGTCTAATCTGTAATTCTTTTTATGTGATTACCGCATCGTTCAGAATTAAAATAGAGGATCATCTGCTCCTGCAAGGTGCTGGCTTCAGCAGGAGTTCTGAGCTTCTAGTGCCCTGTGTATTCAGGCCTGTGAAAAGGTATTTTTGTAATCTAGTCTGTGTGAAAGTAATCCATTGCTATTGTGAGTCACCTCACAGAGATACCTGCATTTCAGTGGAGTGTGAAATAACTCAGTATGTCTGTACAATTGCTTAGTAAGTTTGTAGAGTGCATTGAAATTCCATTTTGTTGAAAAGTGCTGTTTAAATGAAAGTTCATTGTTATAATATGTTTTTAAAAAATTTTTAGTGTTTGAATGCCAGGTGGCTTGAGGTAATATTACAGTGAAATCAATGTTGAAGGCTAACTTTTTACTTAGTGGGCTAAGAGGTCAGAAGTACGCTCAGCTTCTCTTTTCCTTCCAACACAGCACATTGCTCTTTCTCTGAGGAGAGCACCTGTTAGTTGTAAGTTTCAGCTCTGACACACAAGAGTGACGAAATGTATGTGATTGAAATAACTTTGCAAGTCTAATGCCTTGCCTACGCTTAAAAGGATTTGTCAGTAGAGCTATTATCAGTAAACTCCCCTAGTGGAGATGCGACTTATACTGGCAAATGAGTTCTTTTTGCTCCTATAGCTTATTACGTGCCAGTTCTCTGAAGAGAGTAAGTTATACTAGCAAAAGGACTTTCTTGTTGATATAACTGCATCTGTACACTAGGGCTTTTGCTGGTATGGCTCTGTCATGGGGGTGACTTTATTTTTCCACACTTCTAACCAAAATAGCTATGCTACCAAAACTTTTAAATGTACCTCAGGCTGAAGTACATGAGTTGTACTGGGTCCAGCTAATGGAAATATGTTACTTAAGACAGCAAAAGGCGCTTTTTTCCTGCATTGCATGATAGAGGGATTTTAGAAACCCTAGGTGCTTTTCCTATAAACTTGAGAAGGCTCTTCGGATTCAAAACCATGATATTACACAGCCCTGAA